TCAGAGGCAAAAGCAATGTTACCTGCTCTCTTCAGAATAAGTTCTTCCCTTGGTCATCACGACGCAAAGTGTTTTGTGCCTCTGTTTTTGTTACAAGGAATACAAAGCCTTTTCTGCCTTTCCTTTCATTGACATGTGTCAGCTTTGACACATGGATAAAGGAAGTTGATAAAGATTAGTGAACTATCTGCTGCTGTCCTCCTCTCACCACACCAATGACAGTAGCTTGTAAGAGGTCATCTGGCCCAGGACTTCTCTGTGCTCCCCTGTTCATGGAGGGAGCTGGGAGGAGGCATGGGAGGATGCAGCCATTTGAACTACTGTTAGACAGCAGAGGGAGGACTGGGATTTCAAAAGTTAATGGTGAAGTAGGGAAACAGGGGATGAGGGAACAGTTGCTGTCAGATTTTCTTCTGTATAAACACTGCTTTCTCTGTGTATTTTTCATGATAGCGATTATTTCAGCTTCTACATGACTAATCCTTATGCATGTATGACAGGTCTACGCAACGTTACCCAAGGCTGATTCTGTGCAGCTGAGGTATCCTGAGGGTAGATATGACTCTTTGGAGTCTTAGGAAAGCAAAGGGTATGCACCTTTGAGGATAACTGTGGAAGAAGATGTGATTTGTTCTTTGCAACGAGGAATCCATTCCAGAGAGTGCTAAAAATCTAAGTATAGAGGGAACATAAATATCAAAGTAACCACACTCAGAATGTTATGAAGAAAGATGGTAACTATGGTTTGCGTGTTCCAAGCTGGGAGAAATAAATCACACTGGACAATATGGCACATGCTGAACAAGAACATAGAATTCTCGCTTGAAGGAATCTTAGTGCTACAAGTTAATCATCCTTTTATTAGCATGCCCTGAAGGTTTTGGGGATATAAATTTTGCAAAATAACAGCTGGATTGTAGAAATAGGCCACTGAATTAAGAAACAAATCACACAAACATGAAAACACAAAGCTCTGTGTCAGCTTTGTGTAGCCAAGAAAAGTACACCTGCTTCCTGCTAAGAGGCATGCTTGAATACTCAAGAGTGGCTAACGAGGGGGAAGCAGTGGGTGAAGACGTTGATGTTAGAATTAAAGCTGTGTCAATCTGACCCTGAGAGAGTATTGAGTGAGAACTTGTGCGGTTTCCCATTTGTTGTGAAAGTCTGCCTCATAGTCAGGATCATTGGCTTTGCCAGGCTGTTGTGAATTCCGTGTGTGATGCAACAAGAACACTTCAACCAAGAAGAGAGGTGCAGAAATTAGTTTTTGCTGGGAGACATCTGGTCGCCATTAAAGTACCCTTTGCAAGAGGCAGTTAACTCCCGGGGAAATCACACCTCTGTGAGTTTTAAGTAAAGAGCCTATCTTGTAAAACCCCATAGGACAATACTAAAAGTGTCAAGGCTGAGTTTCGTTGATGGAGGATTCATCAGCAACAATTGGAAATGCAGGTACTCAGAGTGCGTCTTGTTTTCCTCTTTTATTTTCTGCAGAACCAGGAATAGTTCAGCTGAAAATTGTCAGTGATGCAGCTTTTTCTTCTTTCCAGAACAATCCATAAAGTAGAAAAGACAGCCAGAAAAAGAGAAACAAGTTTGTGTGCTTCATGGGATGTAACTGGTGTGTCTTTCACTTTTCTCCTCTTTCCATTACAATTTTTTCAGTATTTCCTAGTCTTCAAAGGAGAGCCAGTGAGTCTTAACAGTAATTGAAAATATACCCATGTACTTAGAGACCTAACTATGAACCTAGGAAAAGAAGTTTATCTTCAAAGTTGAGTTCTAATTTTTTTTCTAAATATTAATCAAAGATCTAAGATCTTTGATTAATAGATCAAAGATCCTATTTGTAACAGATAATTCCTTCAAATACTGCAAAAGGCTCATCAAATATTGAAGCACAATATGTTTTAAAATTATTATTTTGGTGAAGAGTACTCCTGAGAAAACTAAGGGAGAGTTAAAGAATAAAGTGAAGCTAAAATGGGTACAAAACTCATGTTGTCAGAATACATGTTGGATTATTAAAGCTTAATGCATGCTTTGAAATGTATTTTTTACATTACAACGTTACAGTTGGCTTATATAAAACACATGGCAATACTCTGGTTTTACATTAGTCAGCTCAAGGTCAGGAACTATGTGCCCACATTTTCCGTTCACATATGCAAAATTCAACTAATCTCTTTTAGTGCATAAACTGCATTCAATTGCTTTAGAGAGTGTGGATTGGTGAGCCAGAGCCCCTTCAGCTACCACTCAGCGTGTAACGTCTCTTGTCCATGATAGATCACAGAATCACAGAATGGTTTGTGTTGGAAGGGAGATTTTCCATTATTTAACTATGACTGGAATTTGCAGAAATTGATATTAGCGTTGCAACTGTGGTAAATTCAGAAGCTATATATGATATGTATATGTTTGCTTTCTAGTAATAATTCTGCTCTTAATTGCTATCTCAGGTGGAAAAATGGCAGGTAAAATTCAGTGCTGCTAATTGCAAAGTTGCAAACACAGGTAGACCTGAGGAGGGGCTCCAGATCAGCTAGAACCACTCCCAGATTTGTATCAGACAGCTGTTTAAAACTAGCATAGTATAAAGCTCAGCAGCAGTTGTAAATGAAATAGAATCATAGATGGAGTTTGGAATGGAGAAGAAAGAGGCAACATTACTGTGCAGTGTGAAAATCTATTGCATACCCACGTATTGGTGACTACATGCAGTTTTGTTATCTTCAGATCAGAATTAGAAGAGGGACGAACACCTCAAGGTACAATGTTCATCAAGTATAGAGTGCGTCTTTTGGACAGGGGAAATGAAACAGACTCCAGTTCCTCACTTTGAAGCAGAGGTGCCAAGTCTCCTGCTCTTACGTCAGCTGGTGATTCAGGCTTGTAATGTGAGGTTCATCGGCCTGACCCTTGTGCAGTGTTACTGCTTGCAAGCAGATTCTGTCTTTGCAAAACCATCACTGATGTGATTTGGCTTCCAAGTATACACAAATAAGCCTTATTAAATCTCTCTTAACTTTTAGTATCTGTCAGACAAATTCTTGTTCTGCATGCATCTCCTTTACATGAGAAATGAGGTATTCAAAATTATAGAAAGTTTTCTTGCTCTGTGTTCATTTACATTTAAGCCATAAGTGATGCCCATAACCTTGAAGCATTTGGCTTAAACAAGATTTACTGAGTTCTCTAAGTAGAATTTTGTGGCCATATAGTCAAGAAGATACTAACAGAAGACTCTAGAAGTACATTGTGAAAGTTATTGAGTGCTAGTCTTTGTTTCTTTCCCCATATGCACATTACTTCCTACATCTTAGAATGGGGTAATTTACCGTGAGAGTCCTATCTAAATAAATAAATATTCAGCAGCATACCATTTATTTTAACCACAATACCAGAATTTATAAGCAAAATGCTTTTATACACTATGGGTAGCATTAACATGGAGATGGAAGGGAAATGTGAATAAATTGTAATTCACAGCCCAGAACATCACATCACAGTTGCCTAGCTCAAAAAGTTTGTTTAGCATACCTTCCCCATTAAGATATTAATAAAAATATATGCAAAGAATCCACTGACAGTGTAGATTCCATATCCCCAAGCGCTCTGATTTTAAGTGTATGTCAGAAGAGGTTTTACAAGCACTGAACAGTGTGGAGTTACATAAATACAATTTTGTTAAAGAAGAAGAATTTGAAATTGCAACCCTAAATCCACAGACTTTTTGTATATTTCTTTCTGAAATGTGCTGTAGTAAACGGTGCTTGTTTACGCATAAAGACTGTTAGTTTTACTCTGTCTGCCTTTCTGTTAGATAAATCTGAAGGGGAATAACAGGAGTCCCTCGGCAAGTTTTCATGATCAAACACCATTATGAGTCTAACTCTGTTTAAAAAGTAGTAAATCAATTCACAATTCACAAATAATTGCTTTTATTTAGGAGAAAACACCTTAAAACATTGACATTTCTGTGAGTTCCTGTGGTATTTTATGGTCTCTTTTTAAATGGAAATGTGAGCATGGCAGAATCTGAGAACATCGTGCTTGTGTACCTAAAAATTGCTGTGTCTAATAACATAACACCAAACATCTTTTTTACAGTACAGGCAGGAAAAGTGACAATCCTTATACGGCTTCCACCCAAATGTCAAATACAATTCTGTTTTCACAAACTTGTCAGCATTTGTTCAATTCCAACGTGTTATTTATTGGTTTGACTCCTTTATCTTTTCCTCAAAACTGCATTTGTAATAAGTTTTGAAAGATTTTCATGAGGACGTGTTAAAATGACTCAGGAATGTTCCAGGTGGTTTGGAAGAAGAAATGATGTTGAACTGGAAGCTAGAGGATAGCACGTTCTATTTAACATGCACAACAGGAGTTTTAAGAGGATGATCTCAGTGTCCTGTCTTTCGAAGTTGGTTATGAATCTTCAACAAATGCTCTTTTATAGAATGGAGAGCTTAAATACTGTGTTGTCTTTGGGACCTGAGTGAGACGTTACTCACAACAGTGTTTTGGGACTATGCTGGCTTTTCACTGCTGATTTATGCATTTCTGATTTTCCTCTCAATGTGAATAATTAATGCCAGTGTGATTGGGGCTTATCTTTTATGATGTTTTTTTGAACTGAGATGAAAAATTCTTACGTGTATTTGAAAATATTGTCTGAGGACTTCTTGAGTGATTCTGAGATGGTTGGGTAACACTTTAGCAAGTTGTAGGCACTGCACAGAACTGACTGTTGGTGTACAGATTTTTTATACTCTTGAGATTTTTTCCCTTTTTTGTCTGTGGCAATACCCTTCACTGCCAAGCTATTAGAAAGCGTGGCTAAGAAGGCTGAAGCACAGTAAGGCAATTTCCCTTTGCTAATCAATACAATTTTCCTGTGAAGCTTCATCTGACTTTGTAATCAACAGGTGTAACATTAAAGCATGAGTCTTGTTACCAAATCACAGATCTTTTTCTCTTGTTTTCCTTGACAGAATCATGAATAAACTGGCAGACCAGCAGGACCACATGATACCATGAAGAGAAGCTTACAGGTCCTCTATTGCCAACTGTTTAGTAAGTAAAAAAAAAATATATATATGTATTTATTTATAAGATCATTCAGATTTTTAAATGAGAAAGTGTTATTTATGGCGCACACAATTCAGAAAGGTACATTACCATGTGCCTTGTACCTGGAGGAACCATCAGGAAGCTAAGTTTTCTTGTTTACTGAGATATTTGGAGATGTATTAAAAAAGAAATTGTAGTGGCAGGTGATTTTGCAGAGTGTATTACAAAGGTAAGTGCGATCTGCTGTGCCTTGAGACTGTGAACACTCAGAAGAATGAGAAGTAGGAGCACAGGATGGTGATTGGAAGAATTATGTGGCAACCTTGTTGTAATCATAGCTTTTGTATAGTTCTCTATGGAAAAATGGGGTCCATCTGACCAACCATCCGGTGGTGATCTTTCAACAGATCTAAGAGTGAGTGAATGGAGCCCTGCGCTCACATAGTCATAAATGCTGTGTCAGTTCCTGAGATGACTTGTTTTTCTAATTTTTAGAAGAGTTCATGTAGCATGAAGGTCCAGTGAAAATACTTTAAAAGAAATAACATTTATATTGTGCAGATAAAGGCTGTCTCTCCAATCCAGAGGCACAAAGCAAGATTTTAAGTGTTAGGCAGTAACTGTTAGGACATTTCTGTAGGTGGACAGCTTTCAGTGTCAACATCATAAGCAATAGCATTTTGTACAAAATTTTAGAGCATAGATAAAGTGAGAAAAGACAAAATATAAGTGTAATCATTTCATCAGTATGCTTTGCGAAGGATATTGCTACTTTACAGGAAGAATTGTAAACAGTTTTTTTGTGCTGTCCTTTCAGTTCAGCAGAACTTGTGACTTCAGTGTATGTCTCTTATTAACATTCTTCATGGATTTCTCTTATTCTGTTCCAAGCAAAACAGAAACCAGAAAAACATGTTTTGTATATATAGGATGAACAATGAAAGAAATACTGCTTTTAAGGCTATGTATGACAATTAATCAAACAGGTAGACTTTTTTTTGTAGACTTCTACAGGAATGCAGTTAATGTCATATATTTGTTTTATTTACTGCTGTTAGGGTATGAAGAGAGAGAATTGTTTTGCTAGTTTGGCTTCTTTTGCAGTTCTAATCCTGTGATGCAGGAGATAATCAGTTGGTTTCATGACGTTGAAAGGGAGACTCCAGAGGTGCGCCCAAGATCATTCTGCTCTAATAAACATACTCCATATTAAACCTATTGTAGTATTGGGTCTTTCTGAGATTGCTTGCCTTTGAGATTTTTTAATATCATGCTTCCCTGTTTGATAGCATTGCCCACTGTTACCCCTGCTGCTTTAAACTATATTTTCAGGGTAATAAATTGAAGATATAAAACTGAGGAATGCTTAGAATGAAGAGGGAAAGACTGAGCAAACTAAATATAAATGATTTTGATCACGATATGGCGAACTCTGTGACTTAATTTGAAAGGAAGGATTATTTCCATTAAATAGATAGATAGATAGATAGATAAACAAGCTGCATTTTTTCTCTGAGTGCAGCAAATATGTGTGCTAAATGTAGCTGTCATAAACAGATGTAACAGCTATAGCTTTGTAGCCTATATTTTAGGCATTTGAAATGAGTTTCCTCTCTGTCTGATTCGTTTTTTTGTTAGTAGGTTGATTTGTAAGAAGCCTGTGGCAAGCTCCACCAAGTTGATTAATTCTTATTAAATTGGTTTTTTTTTTCTTAGTTGCCCTGTAGGTGGGTGATTTAAGCTAACTTTTTCCCCAGTTACACCACAATACTTAAAAACAATCTCAAGGGTGTGCATTTTGCAGCAAAAGAAATATTTCCTGTAATGTGTTATTTATGCTAAATGAAGCACCTGCAGCGTGGTCTTATCTATTTTATCTGCACAAAAGAGGGAAAGATTGCTATTACTGCATTACTATGCAGAAGGGGGAAAAAGAATCACCTCTGGAAAAGGGTCAAAAGATCATATTTTACCTTGGCCTAATATACTGATGTCCTGTGCCTTCCTTCTTCATCTCCAACTACAACAAGTGGATCTGTGATGCTGACTCTGATACTGTGTTTTCATTTTGTCTGGAATGGTGTGAGCAGCTAATTGAGACGTAGGCTTATAGAGAGACATGCATGATGCATGTATTCTTACACATCATAAACTGGGATGGCTTGAATAAATTGTTGGTGGGTTTTGTACAAACAGTGATCAGCTGCAGAGGCAAAACTGAGTTGTGTGGGAAGAAGTAGTTTCATCCCCAAAATAGTGCAATGCTATGAGACTTGCCACATGTGTGTTGAGTCCCAGCTGTGCCATTGGGCCAGTAGTGGCTATGCCCTTCTGTGTATTCATTTCCATCTCTGTTCATTTGTACTGTATTCAGCTGTGTGTCTATACGTTGAGACAGTGGGACTCTCATATGCATGAGGACTGTTAAGCTCTGGAGCTCAGAGAGAAGATTTACTTGATTTATAGACCAGTAGGAGATGTTAGCTGTATTTTTTTAAAATCAGGCCCATATGTAAATAAGATTTGAAGTCACTAACTGTAGCATCTATCCTTTTAGTGAATTCTGGATGACTTATGTAATCAGTCTACTGCCATCCATATTCCCCTGCTGCGCTTTCCAAAAAGAGCATTTTCTATCCATTTAACGCTGATCAAGAATAGTATGTGAAAATGGCACTAGCAGCAGCTGCTCTTCTGAATATAGTTATGGCTGGCTTGAATCTGATCCCAGTTGTCAAGAGATAGACTTTGTGAAAATGGCAGTGCTGCATTTGGCCCAGGACATGGGCTCTGGGCAGTGCTGCATTACACCTCGTCATTCATTATTTATGAATCAGTAATTAAGCATGTGATAGAAATGGAAGGAAGTGTTGCTTTCGGACTGTATCTTCGAAGATACTCTTTAATCTGAAATCTCTGAGATATTTAAAAATAAATAAATAAATGAAAAGATTAAACCAAAAATTTTGGAAGAGGTTTCTTAGTGAGAGCTCTTTGAAGTCAGCAGCTAGATTGAGTTGATGAGGACCAATTAAAGCAAAACATGTGTCCACAATTTGCTGCCATTTGTTCTAGGCACATCTTTATGGATGAAGTTGGTTGCCTCTATAATGATGAAGATGCAAATGCCTTTCCCATGAGGCTGAGCAATCTCCATTTTTTATAAAGACCTAATGTGATGATTTAAGCCCTACAGCATGAGCCACAATATGTCTGCATTTTCTGTAATAAAACATGCACATTATAATTTGCCACGCATGCAGTGTTCACGGAGATGATCCAAGTTGCATGTAAACTAGGGAAAATGTGGAGGAAGGTAACTGGTGAAGCCCCTGGCACACACACTGTGCGTGAGACTTTCTTCTTCAGACATTTGTTTTCCTGAGAAATGGAAGGACTTTTATTTTCTATTTACTTACAGCACCAATGTCTGTATGAGGACCTGTCACCATAGCATCTGGAAATAAATGCCAGCCTGAGTGTTTCTTCATGCCATTATCACTTCGAGCCTTCCCAAGCATCACTCTTTCATCACCGAGGCCTGGCACAGTGCCCAGCAATATCAATAGAGCGAGCCGCCTGTGTGCAGACTCACAACTCTTGGTAGCAAGCTGAGCAAAAATGGCAGTGAGTGGCTGTGCCTTGTAACACAGGCTGTCACAAACCCTGCATCACTTTGCTGTACATGCAGCTTGCCTTCCTCCCTCGTACCCGGCAGCCTGGCTGCCGTTCTGTTAAATCTCTTGCAGGGGAGTTCACACCGCAGGAAGGGTTTGCACAAAGGCTGACTCCAGTCCAGGGGCACTGATATTTGAGAAGCTATGTGAGTGTGTTAAATTCATGTGGAAACCAACACCCAATTCACCATGCCTTCTGAGAGGTGCTGGGCACTATTGTCCCCCAGTGGCTATTGCCTCTTACAGGAGCCAAGATCATCACTCCTGTTCTGTTGTTGAGCAGTGTCTGTGAATAACTGTGTGGCTTTAATAAGATGGCACACACTGATGCTTGTAAGCAAGTGGGGAGGCATGGTAACAGCACAAAAAAAGATTGTGGCCAGAAGCCAGGGAATAACCTTTTCTGTGCCTATAGTAGAGAAGGCATGAAGAAATGGATTTATAAAGCAGCAGGCAACTTACCATTAGACATCAGGCCAAAGTGCTGCAGCAGGTAGGACACTGAGGGGCTGGAGCAGGATGATCAGGAGGGTGTTAGAGGCTCTGCTGACAAAGCACTGATGGAAAAACACATCTCTCAGGGGAGACAGGGGTTATCTAGATGATTTGAAAAGCTCCCATCATCCTTTGACCCTGTGACCACGTGGATATTCTAGGTAGTGTCCTCAGTGTAAATGAGCCTGCTTGCTTCGGCAGAGCTCTCTCAGTTTGCACAAGCCATGTATAATTAATCCGTGTGATAGGAACATATGGCTGACGTATGCTTAAAGATACTGGGGATCACTTGATGCAGACTGGGAGAGAATCTCTTTCTATCATTCATGGGGATTTGCAGAGAGAAAAGAAAACAGCATTTTGTAGTGCGCTGCTAGACTGGTAGGTGATAGCTTAAGCAAAGAGAACAGTGGGGGAGTGGTTATCTAGCAAGAGAGTCCATCTGTTTTGCTTAGAAATTAGAAAGGTAAACAGCCTCTGGGTATGCAGTGTTTTGTGTACAAAGCTTTTTGGGATGCTCACTGGGGTGCAGGATTTCTATCTGTGAGTCACATGGCTTGGTAACAGGCTGCCCATCGGTAGCACACAGCAAGCAGTACATCCACACGTTCTTTTCCTACTGTTCAATTAAAGGTTGTTGCTTCTGTTCCTTAACAAAACTTTGCCTTCTTGAAAGAAGCTGCTGCTTTCCATTTCCTTTCTGAAATCCTTTCCTGGGAAACAGACCTTTTCAAGAGAACTTTAAATGCAAACCAACACACCTTATAAAAGAAAGTAAATTGCATACATGTCTTTTTATCAGGTGTAGCCATCTGCACCCTTAATGTGCCT